GCGCTTGCAGGGCGGCTCCGAGGGCCGGTGCCGCGGGAGCGCGGCACGGGAGGACCAGGCAGGGCGGCCCCAGGCAGGCGGCGGCGCTTCTCCGCGGCCCGGGGGCAGCGGGGGCGCGTCGTGGGGCAAGCAGGCCGCTCGAGCGTGGGGCACGGAGGGGGCCTCGGGGGAGGGCGCCGGCTGGCGGCTGCCTCACCGGCTGGAATGCCCTTGCAGACACCAGCAAGCAGGAGCGCATCGTGGGGGAAATCGCCTTCCAGCTCGACCGCAGGATCCTCTCCAGCATCTTCCCCGACCGGATCCGCCTCTACGGGTTCACCGTTCGCAACATCCCCGAGAAAGTCACCCAGGTGAGGGAGCCCGGCTGGCCGCCCCGGCCTGGTGCAAGCGCCTGGGAGGGAGAAGGCCCCGGCTGCCAGGGGGTGCCCCAGCTGAGGGTGGGGCAGGCCGCCTCTGGGGAAGGGGGCTGCGTGCGGCCCCAGCGGACCCTCCCGCAGGAATCGGTCCAGCCCCTGCTTGAAGCCGTCCAGCTGGGCGGTCGGCACCGCTGCCGGTGGCAGCGAATCCCGCGCTGCAGGCAAAGCGGAAACACTGCGCGCCCCCGCCCCCGGTCAGCTGCGAGGGACGGCCCTTTCGGGGCCCAGTGCTACGGGCGAGGGAGAAACAGCACCACCCTCTGCTTTCCCCACACTGGGCATTATCTGGAGCTCCCTCCCCGTGCTTCTAATCTGAACGGTCCCCGCTGTGGTGGCCACGCCACCGAGGGCGAGGGCGGCTGCTCCAGCCCCGGATCAGCCCTGGTGCCCCTCCCTGTGCTGCTTCCCCCTCAGCAGTGTCCTTTTCCACGTGGGGTGACCAGAAGGGACCACAATATTCCAAGTATGCCCCCCCCCCCGCAAAGATTGGTAGAAGGCAGGGATCAGCAACCTTAAACACCCAAAGAGCCATTTGGACCTGTTTATTTATTTATTTAAAAAATTTCTATGCCGCCCCCATCGCAACAAAGCCTCGGGGCAGCTCACAACATACATAAAATACAATCAATAATTTAAAAACTGGTACCATCTCGGCTATATATTAAAATCTATAAATACAATAATAATAGATTAACAGTTAAAATAACTTTTAAATAAAAAGGTTTCCCACAGAAAACAAAACACCGGGAGCTGCAAAACCCTTTTGACATCTAAACTGAAGATCACACTGCATATATCATTTTTTACCTTTATGCTATGTATAAAAAAACTATAGTGTGTTGCATTTATGAAATCAATGAACTGCTACAGAGAAAGCAAATTTTTATTTCTGCCTGCAACAAAAACATTTTGAACTCTGAAAAAAAAGATGCTGGGTTGAAGGTTACTTTCAAATAAAATACTCAATTTGAATCCTCCTCATACTTATGAAATAAAAAGCCAAACTTAAACTATGACTTTTGCTCAGATCAGCCTTCCGCATTAGTTCCGAAATGGCTTTTTTTCTCTCATCTCCATCCAGATATTTTTCAGCAAAGGCTGTGTGTTTATTCTGGAAATGTCTTGCAACATTCGACTTTTTGTTGTTTGCCAGTTTCTCAGCACATATTAAGCGTACTGGTAAACCAGCCTCGTCAGCAGTGAAAGCAAATGACTCTGCCCACGTACCATGAAACGCTCTGTCTCCTTCTGAAACTTTTATTTCCTTGGATTTATCCATGGTTGGCCCACCGGGGGTCTAAAAGCTCCATAAACCGCGTGCCGGCGGGTGTCGCACGTTGGCGGCTGTGGCGCATATTTCGAGCGACGGAGCCGCAGCAGAGGGACGAAAGCGCCACGTGCGGCTCCGGAGCCGCGGGTTGCCGACCCCTGGCGTAAGGGAAGCCCGACTTTGGCTGCTCCGCCGTCTGTCCGTCTTACTCACGCCTGGCGTGCAGCTGGCCTTCTCAGCAGCCGAGAGCCGGGCCACCCCGAGGGAGTGGGCGCGCCTTCAGGCACCAAGATCCTGCACTGAGCGGGGCGCTGGACTCGGGGGCCCTCTGGCCCCTTCCACGCCACCGCTCTGGCTCTTGGGTCACCCCCACACCGACCGGGAACCCCGTTGAACCCCTCTGTGTGAAGCCACGCAGCGAGACCTAAGCAAGCGCCGGGAGCCGTTTTCTCCTTTCTCCTGCTCCCAGGAGCAGCTCCCTTCCCCGATCTATAGAGTTCTTCGAGCTTTTATGCACTTTGCTTCTCGATCACCTTGAAGCTAATTCTCTTCCACACTAGAAAGAGGAGGGTTTTGGCCGAGTAGAAAGGAACAGGCAAAGAATATGCAAAAGCATTATAGAGTATTGTTTTTATAGCAAGCCCTACATTACGACGACGTTTGGGGTTTGGAGCTAATGCAGAGCATGGGCAGCAGGCGGCTCCCAGAGCGGAGGTGCAGCCTTTGGCATTCCCAGTTGTTGGAGCTCGGGGCGTGAGATGGGAAAGACGCCTGCCCTGCCCAGACCCGGAGAGCGCCTGCCCATCGTGGCCGGCGGGGCCGGGGGGCTCTGGCTGCAGCTCAGCAGCCGCTTCCCAGGCCGGACGGGTCGCTTCCCTTTGGGACGGGTCTCTCGGCCTCTCCTGGGAGGCCACACGCACCCCGCCCTGAGGACCCTCCTCTCTCCCCAGAGCGGAAAAGACCCTTTCCTGCCGCTGACGCCGGAGCTCTCCGCAGCCATCCTGGAGCGCTACAACTGTGTCATGGAGCGCCTGAGGCCGCTGGGCTACAACGCCAGCGTCCACCCGAGGCTGACGGAGCACATCGTGAACACCTTCGGCATCCTGCGGGAGCGGCCGGAGGCCACCGGCCCGGAAGCCGCCTCCTACAACGACCTCCAGTACCTGCAGGAGGTGGTCAGGAGCAGTGCGCCTCCAGACATGCTCCAGGACTGCCTGCTGCTGCTCAGCTGCCTCCGCGAGCTGGCGCAGGACGACGGGAAGCCCCTGTTCATCTGGTGACCGCCCCCCCCGTGCCCCCCACTGCAAGCGCAATAAACGATCTGGAAGTGCCTGGCAAAGTGTCTCGTGTGTCTGCCTCTGCAGCCAGTCCCTGTGCCAGGAACGGGTTGCGGTGCCCCCGCCCCCCCCCGCCTGGCCTTCTCTGGCGTCCCTGGCCGGCGGGCAACGCCACGCTCCTGCAGCTCGGGCCTCATGGCCCAAGCAGGGGCCGATTCCCGGCTGCAGGAAAACCGGCATCTTGGCAGCCTGGCCCTTGTGCCGGGCCAGAAATCCTCTGCGGGCGCAGCAGAGTCGCCGGCCTGTTTCCCGGCAAGACTTCCATGGCGTCTTTCCTGGAATGCCGTGCAGGGCTTCGGCACACTCAGCACATGCTGCGCGGCACCACGTCACGCCTCGTGTCGCCCCTGGCAGCCTCCACATGCGCTCACGTGTGGCTGCTGCAGCCCCCGGGGCCTACGGCCAGAGGCCCCCCCAACCACGCCAGCCCTGAGCGGGATCTGGCGCATGAAGCTGGAGCTGAAATCGTGCCGCCAGCGCCTCGGCCTCCCAAGCGTGCCGCTGCTCCGCTCTGCTCCAGAGGAAGGCCAGGAGGGCTCAGCACTGCCGCGCGCCTTTGATTCGCTGCCACGTGTGCATTTCCCTGATTGCGACCTAGATGTGCCGTGCGTGCGCCCAAGATGGTGGCCAGGGGCTGCCGCCTCAGGCCAGGGGCGAGTTCTTGGCTAGCTTCAAATGGCTTGAGAGAAGGTGCTTTTCACATGGTGTGTGTGTGGGGGCGGGGGGGCTGTCTTTCTGCATCCTTGTTGGAAGTAGCTGTGGCTTGTCTGCCTGACCACATGGTTTTCCTTATGTGATAGTGGGGGGGGGGGGTCTACCTGTGCTCCAACTCTGGTGGTCCAGACAGCACACGGGCAGTGGCGGCTTCGGAGTCTGTGGGGCAGCTATCCAGGTTTTGGCCTGAACTTAAAGGCGGCGGGGGGGGGGGGGGCTCAGTACCACGGACAGCTCCTGGAGCGCTCCAGCTGCCGGGCAGCATGGATACACCAGTCCCGACCCCGGAGCCCCAGACGGCAAGGCTCCGCAGCGAAAGCGGGACCCCTTCCCACAGCAAGCGGGCGCGGCACAGACGGCGTGCTGAACGGCGGGCCCCTGGCCGGGGCAGTCTCTGGCCAGGCGGGAGGCATCCCTGCCCGCTGCAGGCAACAGGGCAGCCTGACGTGGCTGCCCGGACCGCAAAAGCGGGGGTCTGTCCGGAATGCCGGGGGCCTCGGGAGAGGGGCTCGCTCCCGAAGCTGCACCCATGCCAGGGCCGCTCCGAGGCCTTGCTGTGCCCCAGAGGGACCCATCCGCCTTCCGGCTTCGCCTGTGCGCCTGGCCAAGGCGCTGGCACTTCCTGCTGCGTCCCCTCCAGACATGGGGCACCGGCCCCGTTCAGCCGGCTGTGATACAGGACAAACCCATAGCTGGATGCAGGGTGAGGATTTGGATCCGTCCTGCTTGGCCAGAACAGTGGCATTTTCTTTACCGCCGTTAACCTCGGGAGCTGTCCAAAGCCACTGAAGAAGGCCTCGCAGAAAAGCGTGGGGCCGTGCTTTCGCCACTCTGCACCGGGGAAGCTGCCGTGGTGGCCGAAGGGCTGCGGTGCAGAGGGCCCATCCCAGGCCGTGAAGCGGTCGAGCCTCCCCAAGCTCAGGACGTGAGACGGGCAGCTCTTGCCACACGGGCAACGGACCGGCGGGGGCGAGGCTCGAGTCGCCCGACTTATACAGGGGGCGCTTGCTAGAGCATTTCACGGGAATGAGGCCCCTCCGGCGGCAACGCCCGGCACCCAAACCCTCCCCAGGAGCGCTGAGCCGTGTGCGTCTGATGCGTGGCAACATTAATTAAGATAATCACCATCATCATTTATCTTCACACTTGTTCAAAATCAGTTTCCAGCTTCCACGCTCTGGTGGTCCCTCGTGGCTTGACTGTCTTGCCGCTCGGGAGTTCTGTAAAAGGAAGCGTCGAGCTGCACGTCGGGGGACGGGCACCGTGCCGTGCTGCTGCACAAGGGGCGCGCGCCCGTTGCCGGGGAGTCGAGCTCCAGCACGTGGTGGTCGCGGGAGGCGCAGGCAGCTCGGGGCACCCGGCACGCGGGGCGGGTGGGCCCATGCCAGGGGAGCGAAAATCCCCCGTGCGCCAAGGCGGGTGTGTGGCTGGGCTGCCGCAGTGCGTGCCGGGCCCCTGAGGCCGCTGGCACCCGCCCACAGGGGCAGCGCCCGGCGGGAGCGGGAAACGCGTGGCAGGGCAGAGCGCAGGGGGGCTTTGGGCGAAGGCGGCTCCACGGCACCCCTGCCCAGTGCCCACTCGCCCCTCTCTCTCCCCGCAGAGGACGACGGCTCCGCCTCCTGGGACCCGTGCCCAAGCAGCTTCAGCACCATCCTGCCGCGCGGGTACTGCTTTGAGTGCCCCATCCCGTGGCACCCGCACGCCGTGCCCAGCTCCATCGGCTCCGCGTCCGGCCTGCAGCTCTGGTGGGACTCGCTGCAAGTGCCCATGTCGTGGGAGATAGTGCCCGGGGCCCTCAGCCCCAGCACGGGCTTCAGCGACCTCTCCGCCCAGCTCCAGCAGCAGCTCCTCACCAGCGGCAGCTTCCTGCCCTCCGCCTCCACGTCACTCAGCAGCGGCCAGGTCGACCTGGTGCCGCTGCCGGCCCGCCCCGCGAGGCCGATCCCACCGCCGCTGCAGCTGCCCCCGCCGGGCACCATCTCTCCCACCCTCTGGGCGGTGCGGCGCGGCCTGACGCCCGGGCGGACCCAGCCCTATTTCAACTTCCCGTCGCCCTTCGTGGTCACTTCCACTCTCGTCCCCGGCCTGGGGGCCACATACGCCGGCCTGCTGCCCTCCCAGTTCCTTCTCCAGATCCCGCCCCTGCCCCTGCCCCTGGGCCCGGCCCCGGCCCCGGCCCAACTCCAATCCCAACCCCAATCCCAACCCCAACCCCAACCCCAACCCCAAGGCCAAGGCCAAGGCCAAGCGCCAGCCCCAGTCCCAGCCCCAGCCCCAGCCCCAGTCCCAGTCCCAGCCCCAGATCCTGCCCAAGCCGCCAAGTCGAAGGAGCGCCGAGGGGCCGACCGGCAAGCCACGTCTCTGAGCAGCACCAGGCCACCTAGAGGTAAGCCGGGGGCCAGGGAGGGTGCCGCGGAGGCTCCTCCAGCTGCTGCGGGAGAGTGGGGGGGCGCAGTGGGGCTCGCAGCTGTTGGGGCGGGGGGTGAGAGGGAGGGGCCTCCGGCTGGTGGCCAGCTTGCCTGAGGGGTCGTCCCCCCCACGCAGCACTGGCCTGTCTCGTGTGCACTTGAGGTGCCAGTGCCGGGGGTGGGGGTGCCAGCGGGCCTCTGCGGAGTGCAAGGCCCCCCCCCCCCCCCTGCAAGGGGGTCCCTTCACTCGTAAGCAAAAGGAAACGCTTCCCCCGTGGGGGGGGGTCGTGTTTTCCATAGTGAGCACTTGGCTGTAATTCGGAGCAGAGCTGGTGCAACGGAGCGGGGGGGCAGTGTTGGGCCGCGGCCCCCCTCACGCGGGCACTTTTAGCTGGAGAGCGGCAGCCCGGCGAAGCGGCAGCCCCAGCCGGTTCCCTCTTCGGCCATGGGGCAGGCGGGGAAGCGAGCGAGGCCGCTCAGCCAGCGCCTCCGCTCCGGGGCCGGGGGCCCCTCCCTGGAGCCCCAGAGCAGGCCTCCGCGGACCGAGGGGTCCCGGGGGCAGGCGCCCGCGGGGGCCAGCCGCCTCTTCCCTCCGCACACCAAGGCCAAGCGTGCTGAACCGGGCCATCAAATGAGGGCAGAAGCTGCAGCTCTTCAGCCAACCTTCCCATGCCCCGTAACAACAGCAACATCAGCAACAACAATGTTGTCGTTGTTTCAGTTTGAATGCTGCCCCAGTAGCCCATATCCGGACTCGGTGGGGCTCACAATACAGACGCAAAGGTCCTTATGTGCTTTTCCCAACACGGCTTCCCTCTCCCGTCCCGTCCACTCCAGTGCCCCGATGTCTCCCTCAAACCCTGGGGGGTCTGACCGAAACAGGCCGCTCAGCAGCTGGGCTCAGGCAAAGACCCAGTGGGGCGGTCTAGAAATGGCACGGACACCCCAACACCAGCAGCATGGGTGTGCCTGTCTTTGGTGCTAACAACCCGGGGCTTATCGAGCGCGAGCACCAGGACCCACGGCTTCCTGCGGTCTGTGCCCCGTGGCCTGAGGCCCCTCCGTGCAGCAACAGCTCCCGGTGAACCCGCAGCCAACCGCCTGTGTGGGCTGCAGTGCTGCCGGGCCCGCTCTGGGTCTCCAGAGAAGCCTGAGAGTTCTCCCCACACACGTTTTCTTGCATGGGCTTTGGATTACGTAAACAACGTTCCTGTTCTCACAGCTTTTGACGGGTCTTGAGAGGATGCAGCAAAACAAGCCAGCCTTTGGCGAGCTCGCGTCCCTGCGCTGCCCCGAGACGTGTGGCGTGTGGGCGCTCCCTGGGCAAAGTTCGCCCCTCTGGAGGGAGACCCCCGGGAAGGCCGGCCGAGCTGCAGCCACCTGTGCTGACCAGAAGCCCCTCTCGGCCCCGCAGATGCCAGGCAAGTCACGCTGGAGCGCATCGTGGGGGAGATCGCCTTCCAGCTCGACCGCAGGATCCTCTCCAACATCTTCCCTGACCGGATCCGCCTCTACGGCTACACCGTTGGAAACATTCCTGAGAAAATCGCGCAGGTGAGGGAGCCTCCCTCCGTGGCCCTGGCAGCCTGGACCGAGGGAAGGCGAGGAGTGTGAAGGAAACATGGAAACAGAGCGAGTCG